CGGTTGCCGATTAATTTGTGACTCGCAGGAGATTTGTCTGCGTGACCTCCGTTGTGACCCCTCTCACGCTCGCGTTGGCGCATTATCTGGGAGCGCACAGTGCGACCTGTCTTGGAAGAAGTAATTGCCATCAAAGATGGCACAGGTCACGTTGATGACGTCACATGCAAACTCTCTTGTCTTTTCTTGCCATTATTGATTCCAACAAGTCATGAAGGAAGTTTAGTTGCTAATATTTTGCGTGTGGTGTATATGTCCATGCCTTTATTTGTACCAAACAGGAAGCAACTTTTTTTTAATATAGATTTCCTCACTCTGCTGACTAATGTTGTGCAAAAACCCAAAATGCACCGGGAAAAACCGAAACAGTTCTATCACGCACAGTCTTTTAAGTGTAGGCCTAGGCCCATCGGTAGGTCATGTTAACATAACAGTGTTCACCGTACTGCATTGTATGATTCAGTACTGAGAGACGACGATTTTCAAAACAAATCACGCGACGTCTGTAGGTTCAGGTACAAAAAGCGGACATAGAGTTCGTGAAATATAGGAGGATTTGCCCAAACCATATACTCGGGTTTTTTTCGGGTGGGGTCAATTCGGGTCGGTTTTCCCCTGATTTTTTTTGTCGGGTTGGGTCGGGTCGGGTCAGATTTAGCGAGATCAGATCGATTTCGGTTGGGATTCGGTTTATATCAATAATGTTTCGGGTCGGTTTGGCCTGGTCAACCCGACCCGATGCACAACATTATTGCTGATTCCTAACAATTTTTACTTTTACCGTCTAAATAAACCAGCGCACTCGATCCTCTCGGCAATCTGATAAAAGAAAAACAAGACGCGTATTACTTGCGGCGCGTTATTTGTTAGTGCATGGTGCCATAAGATGTCTGCCGTGGTTTCCTGGGGACACGTGCCTATACTGGTTACCATTCAATATTGGGTTTTGCCCTTCACCGGGAAAACCAGATATTGAAATTACATCACTCCGACGCATATTCCATCTTATGAATACCGGTTACCAATCTTACTTTCCTGACCTGCGTACATGCAATCACACAACCGACCATCAAGTGACGCGTAAAAGTATAGCCACGGTATTTTCACCACTTTTGAAGTTGGTGGTACCTGTTTGCCATTTTGTGCGTTTCAAAAGCAGGGACATGGCACGAATATAACAGACCACAAAGAAAAGAAGGGTAGAACAACAGAAGCAAATAACTGTGGGTGCGTGTACGCATTCATTCTGGCGAAATTATGATCCTTTATAATGCTTTCTTGATATAGGCTAGACTTACCGTTCAAAGCAGATTCGCATATTCACCTGGTTTTATTTTATACCTAGATAATGTGACCCGTTCGTTTTAGCTGTCTGTATTCTAATGGAAAATGTCTCAAAAAAGCTAGCATGAATTTCTTCACAGCGATGTGTCCTTTCCATAAATTTGCAGGGGAAAATAGGTTTTGAAACAACCAAAGAGCTATCGACTTTTTTTCGCATTATAGACTTTTCTGCAACTAGCCTTTGGTATGTTCGTCTCTAGCCCCGTCGCATGCCCAATCGGTTGACCGATCAAGCCATAGGCCTAATCATTTCCAGAATTCATCGCCGGAAAAGTCCCCGAGCTGTAACTTCCCAATTGATTTTTTCCTCCCCTCGCGGGATTTAGGGGGCTTATTTCCTTTGAGCTTCACTTCAAATTATCGATGGAGAAACAATGTGCATGACTGAACATTGATGAGCCAAGACATACATGAGAAATGCCAAGGCAAGATGTGAGGTGCCGTTCAGGGAGTTAGCGCGCCCAAGTTTGTGTTCATGAATACCGAACCAAAAAGGGATTTTGTTTTTCTGCAAAAGGTGAACGTAGGGCTGAACATTAACGCTGTTGTGTGAAAACTGTTTTGTTTTTTTATGATATAGTTGGATGTACATTCTACCGGCGTGAACACAATGATGCTTACTTCGCTTACACCCGAATGGGCAGCTTAACCTGTATTGCAAAATTGAGTGAAGGAAACGCAAAGCATTGTGGGTAGTTCGGCATCTTGATCAATGCACGTAAATTCGTTGCTGTCGCGAAAACTTTAACCCATGGGTCACCCTTTAAAATTTATCCAATGATATGACGTGTGCGCGCACAACTTTGCCCATGCGTAATTATGCATAAACCCGTGACGTCCACGCGCGGAGGAGCGGCGCAGATGGCGCTTGTGTCCTTCAATAACAATAATGATTTCATTTTACTTTCAAACACGGGAGTCTCTGAGCTGTCTTCTCCCATGCCGGCTTGTTCGTGTCATATATGTGTTCATAGGGTTCTGCGATATTGAATTGATTTCTATCTCTCTTTACCTTGGAAATTCAATCTTCAAGGATAGGTGATGAGATTGGCGATTCGTATGTCATTTCCATTGGACCGTGACATGTCCATCAGCCACCCGTCTTTTTCGCCAGACGGCACATGCCGTTCTTCGGTCGTAAACCGTAAACCGAGCTGCATGTGTTCACGCCGCTGTTTTATGACCACTTACAACATGTCACTTCAATGTCAGAAGATAAATAGAATGCATTGAATAACTCGAAGTGGGCATTCAATATTTTTAACAGTTTGCGCTACATTCCAGGGATGAAATGTATTTTCAAGATGTGGTCAAACGGAGTAAAGGCCTAGTAGATTAGAGTGGCATACTGCTTTTTTTCAATAAGAGTTGTGTAGGAATAAAATGTTTTAGGCCTATATAGGCAAACTACGCCAGAACAGCGAATGCTGTAAACCTATCAAGTTTACACGGACTTTTTTTATTCTGCAAATCGTAATTACGGGTACAGAGGCAAGGAAAGGGTCAAGGCCGATTTAATTTAACTCTTTTTTGCTGATACAAACTTGGTGTTGTGCGTCCTTCTTGGTACCGACCGAGATGTTAGTAGCGTGATAGTAGCATATAGAGAGTTAGAGAAAATGATTTGAATAACTGCCAAAACGTATGCCCAAGGTGAAATAGGATTTCAATATTAGAGTGTCTCGTGCATTGTTGAAACATATGTACAACTGCACCAGACAGGAAATGTACGTTTCGCATCTTGACTTCACACGATTGTACGAATGAAATTTTATATATAGATTAAAAAATGATATTATTTATTGCCGTCACTTGTCTCATTTTTGACATAACTAGATCCCAAACCACTCATTCCAGAATTACAACCCTTTGGTGTTCTCGTACCGAGGGCACCATTTGGGCGGCAATACTTCTCCAATGGTCTTTGGTATGTAGGTTAATATTTTTAGGTTGAGGTCCGACACACACTCTCAGGAGCTCGTAAACTGGCGCCATTAAAAGTTAGTAGCGTAACACACCATACCGAGTGAGAGTGACGACGCGCAAGGCCACATGGGAAATCAAGCTATTTCCCATCCTCGATCCAAGATAAAGATGTCATACAACTCATAAACCAACCTCGGTATTTTTCTCTCACTCTCTTTGCGCGCCGAGGGATTTATGTACGCGGTTTCTGTGTTTCATGGTTTTACAAACATTATTACCTGAAATACTACTAGGCAGTAAAATTGTTCAAATAACACGCCATTTTACGGCGGTGTTTCCAAAGGATATTGTTGAAGAGTGCGACATTGTATCACACCATTGATTGAATCATAGCTATTGAAAATCTAGCTGTTTATATGAATTTTCAAACTAATGCAGCGCCACCCAGTAATTTGGCAATGTTGTGATGGTCTGATTAGCCTATGTATGCTTTTTGTCAACTGAAGGTTTGAAAACTGGGTTGTCTTAAACACTCTTTCCCAAAAGAATTTCGTCTCATTCGGTATAAATTGTTGAAAACTATACTTTTATATATTTTATGTGAGATGTCCACATTCCGTCAGCATATTATGGTTATGTTCGTAAATTCCTGCATAAAAATAGCAATGATTCGTCGAGTCATTTTACACAGAATGTGTAATATATATATGCATAGGGCCGGTTATGTTTGTTCGGGAATATTGAGGGAATTTTTGCAACCTTTCAATTCATCTTTTATGCACGGTTCTGTGGTAATGTGTTGAAGTCAACAGTCCTGCGGGGTCATTAGCCCCACGTGCAAACGCATGAGGACGCCATGGGCGTAATCTTGGTGCGTGAGCAGCTGTATTCGACCCAGTGGTGCACATAACCTTAACTTTGCTTTGTTGTTTCAAGACGTACCATAACTCTGCGACAGTTGGTTCCATTTAGCACATACCAGAGAAAGATGAAATAAACATTTCATAAGCCATTACTTACTGAAAAGGCGGCCTAAAAAGGCGTGAAATTTTGAAATATCCAGCAATTTTTTAACACATGTACGTATTTTTGTGGTATTAACTTGTGTTTTGTATGATTACGCTTATTTATTGTCATCGCGCTTGTGTACATTCAGCTGTTTTCAATCAGCTGTTTCTTCATATACGATCATAGATACGCAACCATCAATATCTAACCTGCAATTGTCTTATCTCTTGTAGTGAATGCACTTTATGAATGCTTGTTATTTTGCAGGCCTACCATTGACACAATTACAGTGTTTAAACAAACCTTAACATCCGACTTTTCGAATGGGCTCTTCCAAGACGAGATGGCTTTTTTTTTGGTCGTTTCACAAATCCATTTATACACAAATACTCAATCAGACTGTCTTTACACGTGCGCCATATTTCCGGTTTCTGTCAGAGAGCCATATTATAACTGTCAAAAGCACAAAATAGGTTTCGTACATAAAGAATTATTAATCTCAGCACAAACGTGATTGCATGTATTTTTACTACATTATGCATAACTTTGTAAAGTATACTTGCATACAGTCGCAGCCTTGCTTTCGTATCTGTCGCGACTAAGGTCAATAAAGAAATATTATACCTGTAGTATAGACCCATCTTGGCATCTTTCGTAAAAGTCATATTGTCAGCGTGAGTATATATGTCTCACTAACGACAACTTGTTTCTCTTCCTTGCAGAGAGGTTATGGGGGGCACCGGAGCTGCTACGTCTGCCCGAGATGCCCCTAGGGGGTACCCAAAAAGCTGATGTCTACAGCTTCGGTGTCATCGTGCAAGAGGTCATATACAGAGAGAGCGTCTTCTATGTGGCCAATGTGGATCTGTCGCCCAAAGGTACACCTTCAAATAATGGCACTCTCGGGTGTTCTATGTAATTGTGTTCATCGTTTGTTTTATCCGGATGTATTTACTTTACCTTTTCACATAAACGGTAATAGCCCCAGGCTGTATTGATTTGCAGGCTAACTTTGACCGCGTAGGCTTTGCCTTTGGCGTCTATCCACTTGTGAAGAAGACATCGAACAAAAATAATCTGCTTATGTTTAGTTGCGGAATATTTACTTTACAAAATTAGAACGCTCGACAATAATTCAGGGATCTCTTTTGTGCGTTGAGGGGGTATATGGGTAGTCTATGTAATAAACCCTGGCCCTGGAGAAGCCGACCGTAGTCTATTATATGTTAACAGATTCGGCGATTAATTATGCAACTAGACTGCGTATGACCTCGAGAAACTGACCAATCAGCAGGTGCTTTCTATACGCGCGTAATTCGAGCTCCCCACGTGCGTAAACATCACGCCCACGATGAGTAGCATTTTTGTACAGGTTGTTGTATTCCAAAAACCTGTCATCGAAATTGACCAATCACAATCTTAGTACTGATTTCGGAATGAAATGACGTCACGCATGCTTAGATATATCAGACGTTATACAGGAGATTTCGCTCCGTGGATAACGGGTGATACTCAGACTACTATATGGGTGCAAAAGCGTATTTTTAGAGGCTTGAAAAAATAGCTTTTTCCGTTGAAACTACATACAAGTTTAAAACAATTTAGGAGAAAAAAATGGAATATGCTTAAGCGCATGGATGGAGCAACTTAAAGCTTTATTCAACATGTTTTAAGGGAGATTTGACCTTTGGTTTAAGCCATTATATTTTGTGACATTTAATGGCTTTATTTTAAAGATGGGGAAATTTACTTTTAATTTTGTTTAAAGCTTATTATTCAATGCATTAAATCCTTAGAATATAATTTAATTAAATCGGAGTGATTGTATTTCGGTTTAGATTCCCGGAGCATTTAGTGGGGTTAAATAGTATGGGTTAGATTTCCATTGCGGAGGGTTTCCATAAACAATCTTGAGAGTACTTCTCCGGTGTCTCGTTCAGTGAACCCTGTGATGGCACAGCAACATCCCTGGCTAAGTCGAGCGGACGGTATAATCGATTCGTGGGCACGGAGCACCTGATGCCCTCGGGTTGCGGAGTCTCCAATGTATCGATCAGGCCAGGTGCATGATCGTGATCAGTGCACCACATGCGTTTACCGGGCAAAATTCGATTATCGAGCGGATTGCATTTATGGGGAGAATCCACCGTGGTGGCTGTTCTCCCTGCCAATTACAGCTCTGTTTGCCTCCTTGTAGTAGCCCCAGTGCTTCGCCAAGGAAGATGTAATACATTTACCCGCAGGGACGTTGGATCTGTTTTCGGGCATCCTCGCCCCTTTTTTTATGCGGTAGCATCCCCGCCTGAGGCTTTTATTAGATAGCAATGCTATTTTTCAAGAGCGCCAGGGGTTGCAGGTAAATTCACACCTCTGTACTTTACCGTGTGCAAAATAAAACTTGCCAGGGTTTGGCTAGCTGGTGCGAGTCATGCGCGCCCCAACCACAACTTGTATAGTCCCAGTGGGGGTTGGGGTGTATGCACGGAAACGATCCGGTCCAGCTGACCGGGTGAATACGCTAATGTCACCGGTAACTCGATCGCTCCGGCACGCTGCTCCTAATGAAAAGACGGCAAGGTGTGAATAATTATTGTCAAGCAGTCGAATGTCTAGGGAATGGTATCGAATTGGCTTTCGAGGGCTGTTCGCGCGAGAGGGGTAAGCCATACCCCTGTTCTGCTGCTGGAACATTCATGTCTGATGCATCAAATGGATCTGGGGGAAATGTATCAAGTGGGCTAGGTTTTCTCTTTCCGCGGGCTAGATAAACCATTTAGGTAGCACCCCTTCGAAAATTGCTAAAGATTTACAACTTGCCGATGGGATTCACTTTAAAGATGCAAACCGTGACCATTTGTACTTGTTTTAGTTCATAATTAAGAAATCTCCAATATTTATTTTTCTCTTATGAGCTCACAGTGAAATGCGATCTGTAGGTCTGAGAGTTCAGTGTCACTTTCAACTGCCTCGGGATACGTGAAATTTTAATTGTACTGTGTAGCCATCTTTGAAACAATGAATGAACCCATCTTGTCTGATTGAAATTCAGATATCATGAATAAATAGAAATGAGAGAAAGGTTAGACCTATTACATTGAGGAGATCGAGATCCACTGGATGGCATGCCTTTAACCACTTTTTAGACCTGTTCATTCAGAGCACGAAAGTAAAGGGAACACCAACGCGACTTTTTAGTGAAAAGTACTCACGAAACGAATTTCGAGGGGGAAAAAAATTGAAAGTTGAAACACGTCAAGCCCAGCGAATTTCTTGACGTAAAATTCGCCTCGCTTTCGCTTTCGCTTTCGCTTTCGCTTTCGCTTTCGCTTTCGCTTTCGCTTTCGCTTTCGCTTTCGCTTTCGCTTTCGCTTTCGCTTTCGCTTTCGCTTTCGCTTTCGCTTTCGCTTTCGCTTTCGCATTCGCTTTCGCTTTCGCTTTCGCATGAAGTTCGAAGCGGCCTCAACTGCATGGTTCCCGGTTTTATCGCTCCCAAGGCTGACCTACTTTTTACACCGACACTGAATAAGACATCTATCTCCGAGATATGGGCCAACCGCAGTTAACACAGATTCTTGTCCTAATAGTGGACATCAAAACCCGCTTGTACACTTATAATTGACATAATTTATCGCTTTTCGGCTATGCTCAGGCGGCCCGTCCGTATTATGTCATGGAATGATGTGCGTGACGTATAGTCCGTATATAGATTGATAGCGGTGATCGAAGATTTTGTATTATTACACAGAGATAGATGACTGTGTAGAAATTCCATAATAACCCGTGTTCGTCAAATTAATTCAGCAGTCAAAGCGGTCGACAAAGGTTCAGGTGAAGTTGTAACTATGCGGCACAAATAACATTCTGCTTGTTACAAACAAAAGCAGTAACTGATGTGAGAGAAACATTGCAACAAGAGAGGATATTACCTTGGTTGTGTGTTTAAGGAGGGTTAACGAGTAACGAATAAACATGTAACGGCAGCTCAAAATAGCAACCCAGTTTCCGAGAGACCCCTTTAAGCGAGTGAAATTCTTCCATTTGCCATCATTGTACCTGATTTTCAAACCGTTTCAGACATGCAACTCGGTTTTTGTGAAGATAATTTTCCCTTGAAGGTTTTGTTCTTTACCTATATCTGCTGGTTGAAATCCTATTTCTTTATCAAGGTTGTGAAATCTTTTCGTGGCCGAGGTAACACGATGTAGTATAATGTTGGTGTAGTTGGACTTAATTCAACAAAATAATGTGACAGTTTCTTTCTTCTTTCTTTTTCCTCCATCTCCACCTGATAGAAATCATACACAAGGTGAAGCAGGGCAACAAGCCACCGTTCAGACCTACCCTGGACCGGTCCACCTGTCCGGACGAGATATGCAATTTATGCAACCGCTGCTGGGCAGAGGAGCCCACCGAGAGACCGGACTTCAGCCAGCTCAGAATCATCATGAGGAAGCTCAACAAGTACGTATCAGGGGCTATAAACATGGAGAATTGAGCGCCCTCTATTGACTTTACTATTATAATTTTTGGCGCCCTCTGTTGACTTAAACCCAACATGTAAGCTGTACCACTTTGTCGGTTTATTTTTCAAAATACTACATGCTTGTCACATCTATATCTGACTTTTAAGAGGCTGTTTCGTAGTTAAAATGAAGCCTATGTGCGACGGCTGCAAATATTCCTGCTGTATTTTTTGAACAGTTTTACGAATGTCATCTTAGGGAAATGTTGGTCCCCAAAATATTGGAGGAATTGAATGCTTTTAGAAGTTTATTTCACCCTTTCGTATCATTTATGGTTATACCCGGATGCGCTCTTATAAAAGTCAAGGGAAATCTCTGAGAATAAGAAAAGGAATATCAAATCTTCCTTCACATATCCTTTGCTATAGAACTGCAGAGAAACTTATTACAAGACTTATTTTGGAAAACTGGTCGGTCTCCATGCAATTTGCGAAATCTCATGAACCCAGTGGCGAACCCAGTGGCGTATCCATTGCGCAAAACATGTTCACGGTAATATTTAGGAAAAGTAAAATATCTTGTGAATCAACTGATCATAGGATTATAAATTATTTATACGCCGATCAGACATAGAAAGTGCTTGTGGAGAACATCTGTAGGTGCATGTTATTGTCAACGGTAAAGTAAATCATAGGATTTTTTTTCAGATGAGGGCGCTACTTAACTCGTACGGTCGTATTATAGGCCTATAAGGCTCTCGCTTAATTGTTATTATAACCTGGTTCATCATAAAAAATATCATCATGTCACATAATGCGGATAGTCTTAATCATGCCAAAAACGTGAAGGTAAGGGCATTATCTATTCAAAAATGTCTTAGAAGATCATGTCACCATTCGCGATGTTTCTGCCAGTATGTGGAGCAGATATTTTAACAATATTAAGTAAAAGACAAAGTCAAAATTGTCTACCAAGGTTGCCGTTTGTAAACTGTTCAATGCCAGAAACCGTGCAAGAAATTCTAAACGGGCCTTCCTGTATTAACTATTTGATCAGAGTGTAGTTTATTTTCATATGTTTCTCGCTTACCAATCAATCCAATGCTGTCTGAAGGGTTATGCATCTACATTGCTGTACATGAGAATGTCGTTCATGGTGCTAGACACCTTTTTGTGTTTCATGTGCTGCAAAAAGTGTAAATATTTTACCAGTTTGACATCTTAAAACCCTGCCAATGTTGACCTAATTCCCTCGGCAAAGTAGCCATTCATGCAGGCCGCCTCCGTGCATGTTATCTGTAAGCCCGATTCGCTCTAACGAACGGACAGCGCAAATGTTCCGCCTGCGGTTACCAATCTCAGGAAGTGCCCCGCGCTCTGAACGGACGAAGGAATCACCGCGACAGGGATTTAGGGTTTGCTGCCCGTAGTTAACCCGGTTAATACCCCGTGAAACACGGTCATCCTCGCTCGGCTCGGAAAGGCTCCAGCGTTGGGTATAATAGCGGTTAGTTACGGAGCTCCCCCTTGGTTGGAGAACTGGCTAAATCCGTGGCCTGCGGGGACTCCGTACAGAAGTAAGAACCGGATCTGCAAAGTAGTGTTGAATGTAAAACATGGGAATCACTGTTGCTTGTCGTTTGGGGAATCGATGCAGATAGTATCCCCTCCCTTGATAGTGGAGGATAATAATTAAGTGCATTTGACTGTGTTCACTTAAATGCAACCTGCATTATACCAGCCGGGGACAACACTATTGGCAGCGACCTTCAGAATATAAAGATGTTCGCCTGCAAACGGGATCAGCAGGCATTTGGAATATTCGTCAGACATGCTTGATTACATGGTCGGTTGATTATGCGGATTACCAACCAGCCTGGACCTGTTTGCGCTTGGCTTAGGCTACTTTGCAAGGGGAAAGCACTTTCTCTTTCCTGTTATCCACTATGATGGTCTTGATTCACTGGGATGGAGCGAGATACAGCCGTTTATCAAAAACATGTGTCGCCTGGAAAGACCATACATTTCTTGATAAAGACTCCATTTTTCGTAAGCAATATCAAAGCACAGACTCAAGTTGTACCAACGTTTCTAGCGCTTGTTATTTACTCAACTCATGTGTAGGCCTCGGTAGGCTAAATATAATTGAATTGCAACATCGGACACATACTTTCGTTACATTTTCTTCTTTTTTCGTTCACTATTCAACATCCTCATTCATAAACGTATAGGTAGTCTCGGAGTTCTCTTTTTTTTTCAATGAAAGTTTCTCTCTCAAAAACATCAATTTGGTCTTCCAACAAAAACACCCTTATAGATTTGAAACAAAACGATCATGCGCAGTTCTGGTTTTAGGGGTTTTCTTCATACGGCCAGGGGAAGATTCATGCAGAACAAAAAGGATGCCTCTCAAAACTACATGTACATGTATATACCAAAATAATGTAGCCAATCTGAAACGCAGAATTGTTGGCGTGTTTTCACACTAGCGTTTTGTGGTTCCGTGTTTTTTTCTTCAATGACGTCAAGTTCTCCGCGCCGTTAAATTCACGGTGCACTTGTTCGGTTCATGAGCGTTTGGCAACTTCAGTGGCGCATCACGTGAATTCTGATTAGCGGTCGAAGTGATACTTTTGCCATGGTGAGTCCTCGAGATTAAAACGGCAGCCTCCTCGTTAAACTGTCAGGCCTGGCGTGATTCACGGCTCTCCAAATTAACCGAATATGCAATTTTATAGATTTTGGCCAGATGGCGTTGTAATAAAAGTCGATTAGTATGGCACAACAACGACTGACGAGCCCGGGCCGCACATGACAGCTAAAATGTCGCCAGATTTATGATGCTCGTAAATCCTGCCCCTGCTTCACTCGGTTGAGCAATTCGAGGGAGAAGAGATTTTTAATTGAAAAATATCAAAGGTGGGCTGGACTTGGCAAATCATGGAGGATATTCAAATATTGTAAACTGTTATGGAAACGCAGGTGCAAAGTCGAGTAAACTGAGCGTAAATTAACGGTACTTCCCGCCGGTTAAACGAGCGAAAATGCCCGTGATTTATCTGGCGCCGCGCGCTGAATGGCCCAACAAATGCTGTCCGCCGGACATAACTCAAAGGCACGGCAACTCCTACTGCCGCAGATTCCATGGTCGCCAGAGATTAGCTGTCATCTGCCGTCCAGTGATTGAACTGAAAACAATTCTTTGAGGCTAAAATTGGAATTGACCTGGTCAATGGTTGCCCGGGAGTTCAATTTTGGCCGTCTTCAAAAATGCTAACAAACTGTTGTTTACCGCATTCCGCAATTATGCCAATTAGGCTACCCGTTGTATACAGACCATACCGGGATTCCAATAAATTACTTTTAACTATCACGTGTCTCCATATCTGTGCATCACGTTAGTCAGGTATTAAAATTAGACAGGGCAATAAATTTCAAGTTGATGTGAAAAATTACATAGGTGAAGTACGAAGTGCAAAAGTCATTTGTATAACTATGAAACTTTCATGCTGGGGGCTTGATCACAGTTTTTCAACTTTACCGACAGTCTGTTATCGAGGGATAAAGTTTGAAGAACATGTCAAAGAATTTTGAAATTATGTTGTCGTTAAAGCATTGTTTATAGATAAAAATGTCTTTCCATAGTCATTTATCTCCCGTCGTTGCATTGTACATGCCTTCAAGGTTTTCACAATCTCTGGCTGCTAAAGACAAAAAAATTGATATCCACAAAAGATTCCCTAAAAAAAATGGTTAGGCCTACCAGGCTAAATAACTATAATTTCGTGTATTTCTTGAACACATGGTTACTGTTAAATTGTGCTTAGCAAGTTATTATGCTCAAACGTCATATATTATGTATGTGGTTTAAATGGAGAACATTCATGTATTTCTACTTTTTATTTGAAAAGATCAATGGTGTCGTTTATCACATGTTTAGCCTATCTCCTTCAAAGGTGTCTTTCCTTCACCGTGCAGGTGATGATATTGAATGGGGAAAACAGTATAAATAGAAACGGTGTAGATCAAGTGCGGATCCAGAACACATTTTTTGGGGGAGGGGGGGGGGAAATAAAATGTGGTCCCCCAAGAAGTCATTGCAAACAATTATGGCGTGTGGCTCGTGGCCCGCTTAAGGGCCTCGAATTGTTTTGATTTAGAGATGCTCTGTGGTGCGATCTGAGGCAATTTCTGACCACTTTGACCAATTTGTTTTGAGGAAAAGATGGTGGTGTACGCAGTGTCTGCCTTTATTGCGACGTCACTTAGAAAAAAGTTTGGCTCGTTTGGGGGGGGGCATAGCCCCCTTTTGCCCCCCCCCCCCTGGATCCGCCCTTGGTGTAGATTGAATACCTCATCAGTCTGTAACTTTAATTGGATCTTGCCATATTGTTGTTTCTTGCCATCAGACAAAATGAAGGCCGTAGCCTGGTGGACAATCTCTTGTCTCGCATGGAGCAGTACGCTACCAATCTGGAGGCGCTCGTGCAAGAGCGAACTGAGGCGTTCTACGAGGAGAAACGGAAAGCGGAGGAGCTCTTGTATCAAATCCTGCCCAGGTAATGCATCCTCGTCATATTTCACCCAATCTGCAAGCCTCGGGCTTTCCCCCAATTCCCCAGATGCTCATATCTCTCCGGTTTCATCCGGTAGCATCATTTCATGTTTGCCATGGCATCATAGAGCATAGAGAGCCCAATGATTAGACGTCCATTTTTTTTCCAGCGAACCCGTATGCCGTTTAACAAAAAAGGAGCATAGAATTTCGCCGCACTTGATCCGCATGTTATTGGCAGTCTTCGGTCCAAGTCTTTTGCACTTTGCCGAAAAAGAAATTTAATTAAGAAAAAATCATTGATTTTAACCCGAGAAGTTGTTTTGTCTACCTGGAAGCCATGCAGCACATCCTGAGGTGATATGGCCCTGTGAAAAGGCTCGAACTTTACTCCAGAAGTCCTGATTTGTCCGTATTTTTGGAAGTATTACTATTACACCAGTGATTGGGCCGACCCGGGTCTGCGGTCGCATATCCACAATACAAACGAAGACTCCACTGTTCGGCCTTTTGTCTCGCCGAACACAGGCAATTTTTGGCTGCGCTGAAATTTAATAGTTCTCGCCAAGGAAGGCGATTTCAAATGAAGAATTGGAAGGCACTGTCAGTAGACAATTCCCACGTATCTCATCATTGATGTTTATCCTCGTATTCCGTAGCCGCTGGGAGATTCTTTACATCATAATCTTTAACCAAAATGCACCGCAGAACAGTGCAGCGTGGCTTTCTCGATTTTGTCCCCGGGGCGGGGAAGGGATATGACAGACAGAAAGATGCGCCAAACGAAGGCCACGATATGAGTCCAGAGTTGCCACAGGCTAAACGGTCGAGACCTGGGTTGCTTACATCATGGAGGAATAAAAATTCCTCCATGCTTACATTGAAATTAAAGATTTCAATCTAAGGCCTTTCATAAAAACAAGTAAGCATGCATTGCACGAGTATAACCATAGAGAAAGGACACACCGTCCACAGTGTGAAGATCTCGCTTCGAATACACTTTGTCCATATTTCAAGAGTGTGTTGACAGTGTTTCATCCCTAAGGACACCGAGATCTCGATAAGACAATTCTCGGGAGAACTACAAGAGCCTGGCACTTTTTTTCTCTCTCTCTCCCGTAGTCTGTTTGTGACACAAAGTGAATGGAACGTTTCTTCCCCGTGTTATAAAAGATATTCCCTCCAGCCATTTCGGATTCAACAATCGGTTACAGCTGGCCTGATTTACCATCAAAACAGTCGCACTCATGGGAGCGATTCATTTTGCTTACACAGGGGTTTCCGTGTCTAGAGATGGAATCATTGAAATGCAGTCCTTTTGTTTGTGTGTTGATATAACACTCACATAGGTAAACCTATAGTTTTCCACTCGGTATTTATACAGATCTAAAATATTATGACAAACCTTCACAACAGAGGGTGTTATTTATATAAAGCACTTTTTTCTAACCCCGAAGCGAAAGTTTCATTAATAGATATGTTTGGTCAGGTCTGAGGTATATAATCACATTACGAGAATTGAGAGTCAGGTTTCGATGTGGTCGAAGTTTTGCAACAACAGCCAAGTTTCCTTGTATTTCTTTCCAACTTAAGCCGGGTGTTTTTTGGTTCTCTTTAGGGCGGTGGCTGAAGAGCTCAAGAAGGGCAAACCGGTGACTGCTGAGACTTTCGAGTGTGTCACTATTTACTTTAGTGACATTGTGGGCTTCACAAGTCTCTCATCAGAAAGCACCCCACTCCAGGTAAAGAAACATCAACGTGGCCTGTTAAGTCAATGATTTACTGTTCTTAGACCTACGTGTATTACAATATGGGCGATTCACAATAGTGCGCCTCCAAGAGTTTGCAACGCGTTGGCCAATCACAAGGCGCGAAATCAGTCGACCTTTTCCAAACGCGCATTGGGTCGACCGATTTTGTGCATTGTAATTGGCCAACGCGTTGCAAACTCTTGGAGGCGCACTATTGTGAAACGACCGTATTGTATATGGGATTTCCACATACGGACCTTCCGCACCCACACCACCACTGCCACCAATATAAGCCTTGCGTATGGGGCTTGTATTGTAAGGCCAGTGCCTAGACTGCCCAGTTTGATGTTCTGCTCTAAACCCGTTATCGAGACCTCGGAAACATGTCAAGGTTTTTGCCAGTGCTCGTCTGGTGTCCTGGGTACAAGAAATTGGCACGATACAGATTTGTGTTTCTCATAATCTGGATATTTATTGACCTTTCTTTTGTTTATAAACACTGAATCCCGTTTTGTATGTACGGCCGCATGAATTAACCGTAGTTTGCAAAAGTTTTGGACCAAAACTGCACATTTTACTCCCCGGCTATGTTTAAAGAGATGGGATCTCAATGCCTCAATTTGGCAGCGTCTTTTAACTTGTACAGTGTATTAATAATTATACACACGGTATGTTATCTCATTCAGTGATTTTGTTTTGTCATGGTAGTCCCCCAAAATTTGCCAAAATGTTGTCTGTGCGGCTGTGACGTACACAAGAAAGGTCTATATGGAAAAGACCAAATACGACTTCCAAATAAGAAAGATTATTTAAAAAATGATGTCTGTCATGCCAAAGCCTTTTGACAGTTTAAACACATCAAGTGGGACTCTGCGTTTAAATCAGTCTTGCAAGTTTAGGTATTTCATCAACTGTACAGGATGAGTTAATAAAACGAAACCCAAATGTCGGGACCATTGTTTTAGTGAAGTTCTGCATATAGGATATGAAAGCCAAATTCATAAGCTTTCTTTTAGTACAAGGATCATTCAAATTACTTTTCAAGTTACGGAGTTTTAAACACAACTACCGTTTTAACGTTCTGTCCACGGATCACAAAAAAAGGTGTGCGTTCTTTCAGCAAAACGAAAACCATTCACACATATCCTTGTGTGATTTGTTTTCGTTTTGCTGAAAGAACACTGAAATTTTTGTGATCCGTGGACAGAACCTTAAAACGGCGGTTGTGTTTAAAACTCCGTAACTTAAAAAGTACATGAGTGATTTTTTATACTAAAAGAAAGCTTATGAATTGGGCTTTTATATCCTTGATTTTGAAATCTTTACATGCAGAACTTCACTAAAAAAAATGGTCCTGACATTTGGGTTTCGGGTTTTTTTACTCACCCTGTATGTGTTAGCGTGCTCTCACCCTACTCTCACCATCTTACCCCAAATTTCTTTTAGGTTGTAGATTTACTGAACGACCTCTACACGTGCTTCGATTCCATCGTCAACAACTATGACGTATACAAGGTGAGCCTTTTGTATACATTGGTCAGTTATCCGGTCAAGCAAGACGTAAAATTCCAAGACGGTAAATTTAAAAATCAAGGAAATGGTTGGGTGTCATTTAATGAGCAAATCGCATCCCATGAATCTTCGAAAACGATGAAAAGATTTAACTCAAAATATGGAAGAGTTCATCTGCACCAAAGGAAGTTTGTCAAGCTTTAACACTAAATCCTGGGTCATCAAAATGGAATTTGATTCTATTCTAATATAATTTTAATTCAAAAACGCTAGGTTCATGCCATGCCTACAGCACCATCCTGGTTAGTTCTTTGGGAACTTCCCAACGACTGTTTCATTCGTTGGATTCATTTTGGTGAAAGGCAGGTTTTATCATGGATGCACAGTGAGGGGCCTTGAAATTCGGCCCTTTTGAGCCTTCAACTGTCTGCAGGGGGCACAGGTGTGGAATGGGGGACATCTGTATAAATCGATTCAGCAAAGCAACACCTTGCGATACACTGTGTCCAAGTGTCCAAGTGTCCCTCTTCGTATTGGATTGCTTGATTGCTTCCGCATTGCAGGATGAGAAAATAGAGGAGTATAAGGGCAAGAAATTGTAGATTAAGTTACTCCCTTAGCAAGTAACAGTCCTCGGGTCTTGCCAACGGGTGAAGGCCAAGGCAGGCGATTCACGGCAATTCGTAATCGAGAGATTCACGGTGACTTCCCTTTCCATGCACGTGGGAATCACAAGCGGCCGGCCAGACGCGTAGAAAATGATAGAAAATCCTGGCAAGAAATCCCCTCCTTTTTTGAGTCATTCTCGATGTTGGGGGTATTATTGAACTAACACCTGGGCCCCGATTCATTGAGTGTCTCGTATCGCAGCGCGTCGATCCCAGTGGAGTCGATACTGATCCCGATCTCGCACGCACGAAGTAATTGATTTAGGTGGCCCCCGGCGAAGTGCAATGGAGATGCTCCATTGAGACCAGTCGTGGGAGATAGGGTTGCCAGACCAAGGCTCGATACGAAGAGTGATTCCGACTGTAGACTTCAAGATTCGAAAAGAGAACTTTCAGTGGGGATACTTTGCCACATTCTTGCATTCCCTAAATCATGGCTTCACATCATAGCTGCTAATCGCCCTTAATTCTGTTCCATTCTAGGATTTACGGTTGAAAATATGACGTCTAAGTAATCAAATTATTTTCACATTTGGGTCTTTGTAGTTATCAATAAATTTGCTATGTTCATTCCATTTGTTGAATTCACTTTTAATACTCGTTACTCCTCACTCCTTCTCATCAGTGTAGAACTGATACGTAGTTATCTTAAAATAATGATTATGCAACCGAAAGACTCGGAGCCATTCCGACTCCGGCAATATACCGGCTGAAAAGTTGAAATGAAAAGTTCGGCTGCGATACATAAGATAATATTTTCCGACTTTTTCTTTCTTCCATTCTATCTACTCTAATGTCAACCGAGGGGTTCGTATCACCTTACATGGAGGATTTCTGAATAGCAATAGATGCTAAATGCAGTACCCTCTAGGGACGAAGTTTGGCCTCCCTTGAGTCAATACGCTTTAGACACATTTGCCTTGCACAAAATGTCTTCTTGGAGCTCCGAAGAACACACCGGATAAAAGTTGGACTGGACTTGCTCTTTGTCAATGAGAGAACAAACACTCGGGGGTTCAACCACCTGTCAAAAATTGTGTTGATTCAAGAGAATTTGAAACTGATTTCTGTTTTTAATTCTATCATGTCTGCTCGACGTGTTTATGTGCAATATCACCTTTTCGGTACTTTGAAAGGTTACCCGCACTTGCTGCACGATAATCTGTAACTCTTGTTTGACAGCACGGCTGCAACCCATTGGAATTCTGTCGGTTCACCAAGAGTTCATGTTAGATTTCTAGATGAAATTCATGGGCGACGATCCGGGGGTGATGAAGGAACCCCCCCCCCCATATTGTTTGGTCAGGGACGCCAATGGCGATGTCCCCCAATAATTTATCCAAGTGTATATATATTTTTACCAACGCTACTTCTAAAAAACATCTCCACTGAGTAGTAGGTACCCCCCCCCCCTCGCTTTACGAATTTTCCAATCTGATGGGTTCTTCCCCCAATAATGACAGGATTTTGTCGCCGTTGGTGAAATTGACAACAAGTGGAAGCTCCAAATACTCAGGTTTTTTTTAATTCTTTGATTCCCTCTCCTCCTGTTATTCTGAATCTAACAAACTCCTATAAAGGAAGAGTGAGCTACAAAAGAGTACGAATTCATCTCGTGTCTATACCAACTAGACCCAACGAAAAAGGTCTTGGTCGATTCGATGAGGTTAGTCTGTGACTTAAAAACTGTTATCGTACAATTCAGACAAGTAAACCAAAGTTCTTCTTCTGTTTCCCTGTCTGTATCGCCAGGTTGAGACAATAGGCGACGCTTACATGGTAGCATCAGGCCTACCCGTCCGGAACGGAGACTTCCACGCCCGTGAGGTAGCTAGGATGTCACTAGCCTTACTGGGCGCCATCAAAACCTTCAAGATTAGGCATAAGCCAGACAGGACACTCAAGCTCCGTATCGGCTTACATTCAGGTGAGTCTTTGGGTCTCTCCTTATTTCTCCTTTGGTCTCTCCTTATTTCATATGTTCCTTTGAAGTCAGTCCTACAGATCCCTACTATAACCACGGTGTTCTGCGGTTTGGTGCAAATTCTGTGTCTACAATGCTAGCACAGAAAGGGATGTACGCGTGGGAACAAGCCAGATTCCTTGCCAGCCTGGTAAACGCTAACCGTTACCACAGAATAGTCCGCTGGGTGTTCAGTATTTAAAAAAAAAAACACATTAAGGTCTTGAAGTATTTGATGCCCGTTATAATCGCTATGTTACTGTTCTGTGAATCACAAGTCCTAGGCGACTTTTAGAGCAATTTCGAATTGTAAGCTGAATAAATCGTTGCTCATGTCCCATCAAGCAACCGACTGTCAAATGACATGCGAATTACTACGTCTTTTTAAGCTTAACTCGAGTTAGCCATAGACGAACAACTGCAACATGGTAGTCTTTCTTGGTGTGCATATTTGTAGTCCATAATTATTTGTTCGTGGGAGGGCTCTAATTTATCTTGATCGCCGTAGGGGTCATCCATAATTATCAACATTTTCAAAAGCGCACAAAACGTGCGCTCGGGGGCCGGGGGTATTCATGGGTGCAGCCATATTTTGTCATTCAGCTTCATGCTATCTCCAAGGCGCTAATATTCCATAACTATTCGCGGCGCTATGAATGAACTGTTCGTTCCAGGATATCTTTGAAAATCAAAATTTTTGAAAGTACCCTTCCAGAGAGGGGGGGGTGGTTGGTCTGGCAAAAAAAGTACGTTTTGTTCGCTTTTGGAAATGTTGGTAATTAGGGATTACCCCTTACCTATGGTGGCTTTTGAATATCTCTACAGGGTGAGTAAAACAAAACGCATCCCAAATGGTAGAACCAATTTTTGAATGAAGTTTTGCCTGTAGCACTTTTACAATCTAGGATATGAAAGCTCAGTCATTTAGCTTTCTTCTAGTACAAGAATCATTCAAATCACTCACGTACTTTTCAAGTTACGGAATTTTGAACACAAACACCGTTTTAAAGTTCTGTCCACGGATCACAAAAACAGTAAGTGTTCTTACAGCAAAACGAAAACAATTCTCACAGGAATGCATGTGAATTGTTTTTTGTTTTGCTAAAAGAACACGTCGGGGTTTGTTTACTCACCGTGTATATTGTTTTCAAGTCGTGTTGTTGTTTTTTCTTAAGTATCATAAAAGTAACTTTGTTGGTTGTGTTGTTTTTCGCCACTCTAGGCCCAGTAGTAGCAGGTGTCGTGGGATTGAAGATGCCTCGCTACTGCCTCTTTGGTGACACAGTCAACACAGCATCCAGAATGGAGTCCAATGGCGAAGGTAATAAGCCTCACTATAGATCTTGTCTATACTTGCCTTCCTCGCTGATTATTCATGAAAACACTTTGACTAGAAATTACATCAAGATAGGTAACTTACAAAAGTGCCGTGGAAATCTAAGGAGATAGGTGACCCAAGAAGTGTATTAAAATTATCTTTGAATCTGTTGGTAGTTTTGTTTACTCGGCTTCGAAAACGGTGGTTACCTTTTACAAAGTAATTGAAGCAAAGTGCGTTTTAATTGTTTGTATAGCAATAGAACCGCATTATTTGCGTGTGATGAAACATGTTTCCGTTGTCCTGTGTTTGTTATACTTCTGTCAACAAACCTTTGCAACATTTTCCGGGAATGGTGGACTGAAATGTTGGGATCCTACGACCACCTTTATGCAGTCCATCCTATTTTGGTCACGATCATGAAGTTATCTCATGCATTGATGTAACCTAGTTTTTGATCCTCATGCAAACAGCGTTCACTCCTCCACGCTGGCCTACCTTTTAAATTCGCTCTTCAACCCTGTAAAATATACAACCGAAACTGTTATGAGAGCAGATGCAATAAATACTGCTTCCCCATTCAGCGATTCTCTGCAAATCATTATTACTCGATCCGTCATTTTCTGTGCGGTGTTCAGGTTTTGTGCATCCATCAATTGCTAGTTTTTTCTCTCTTTTTGTCATTCCCTCCTTGTTATCTCAGCTCTCCTTTGCAACATGTCCCCACTCCTGCAGGTGTTCCCAGTCCACACATTCATGTTTGCTCTGCGTGCCCAACAGATCTTTTGTGTCACATCCAAATTTGCAATTCCTATTCGAACTATAACCAGTCAGTCATCCAATTTCCTGGACCCCCTAAAAATGTAACTTTCACAGCAAAACTTAATTAAGGTTTTCATCCAATAACTGAAATGTCAGAAACCTGCAAGCCCATACGTGACTTTTGAGACGAGATCTTAGAATTGGTAAACAGTGTGGAAACCAACGCCTAGGGGGAGTTGTGTAAAGCGTGGGTGCCGCGAGTAAAATGGTCATATGTCACGCCCTTTAGGGTAAGGCCGGCTGGCTCGAGTTGACAGCCAAGCCTCTGCCGACCACTTGCCAATTTGGCCCGGCAGGATGTAGTGACGGATGCGTGCTCAAATTGGGTTATTTGGCGGTCATTGTCAGGCAATCCAAGGCCGTGGTGCGGTGTGCAGCCCGCGGCTTTAGTCTGGTCCCGCTACCACCTGTTCTCGGTTTCCGGCAGGTTGTAAGTGCGAGCTTTACAACTTAATTATTATATACGTCTGTCTCTCACTAGCGTACGCAGACTAGCCCGTGGTCTGTCAACAGAGGGAGTCCTATCAAGTATGCGGTGGTTACATTGCATGGAACTTGCTGTTGTTCCGATTCATTGGAAAGAGTAAAAATGAGGGAGTTGTTGAAAAAATATCAAGGACTGCTTTTGGAATCAAAAATGATTTCGAGTGTTTTTTTTTCTCGATTGCAGCTATGAAGATCCATATCAGTAATTCAATCAAGAAGATTTTGGACCTATTTGGCACATTCGTGGTCGAGCTCAGAGGGGAAGTTGAAATGAAGGTAAGAGAATACTCCAACCTCGTCCCTTCCTTTAAACCACACACTCTGACATCATCACTGTTAGTGTTTTCAAACTCAATATTGAAGCCTTCTCACCCCAAGGTAATGTCATCATCACACGTTCTGCCTCGTTAAAGGTGTAAGCTGATTTTTCTAAATCGATCAAATTATTGTTATGTACTTTGGTACTCCGTGAAAGCACCACATTTAGTCTTTTAAGGTCGGGGGCATGCAGATTAAAGGCCCTCCACATAACTTGTACATGTACTACAATAACTAATGAAATGTGACGGCAAGATTTCATTCCGGGGACCAGGATAATTCTATATGAAAATGATAAGAAACATTTGAAGCCGGGCCCCCTAGTCAATGCATACGTCATTACGGACCGGTTCTTGTAACTGGTTTAAGGGCACGCGTTTGTTGTAATTTTGGCGGTACATTAATGTTCGGTTCCCTTGATTTATGTGATTGATTTTAGTGAAAGAGCTTAGTTTCCATGCATTTCGTCAATGTCGTGGTTTTCGTCAACAGACTTTGTTTACAGCATTTTTGTATGTCTAGCGATGCCGTGAAAATCAATGCTAACATAATCTTTATGTTGGAGTCATGACTACGTCTTTGCCGTTCCGTTTCCAGGGGAAGGGCAAGCAGACAACGCACTGGCTAATGGGAGAGCTAAAGGACAAGAACGGACTGTGCGATTTCAAGTACCAGGAGATCTCTGTGTAGAGTTGTAGAATTGAGTTCGCGTTTTGTATGAAGCCCAGCGGTGTACACGCGAGAATAACAAATGCATAATATGCCTTCCCTTGTGTTTTTTTGTTCACAAATGCTGTCACCAATAACCAGGACAGACTAACTGACGGACGGGTACGACTGACGTACGGTACTGACGCGATGGTGGAAAGGATCGTCTCTCTCGCTGATTTAAATTCGTGATGTGATAGAGGACAAAGACTGATAACGAACAATCCAATGAACAATTCACCTCGACTGGACAGATCGACTTCAAATTCTAACCATATCATACAAGACAACTACTCAAGCATTCACGACTTGGGTCGACGCAACATGGACTCAAAATGACGTGATTAACTAAAACGGGCGAACAAGGAAAACACTAAGTAAGGTGAACGTGACGACAGACAAACGAACGGACCACGAAACTGAATATGATTGGACAAAGACGCAAAACCACATTCAGGGCTTCCTATTAGTCAGATGACGTCGTCATGGTACAAAATGTGACCTTCAAAAACAAAGACACTTGACGGACAAACAGAAATAACGACAGACACAACGATATGCAGACAGACTACGCACCTGGGACAGATATTGTTCGACTATCATATTCGACAGTCTTTTTTTGTGGATGGAAATACAGCCAGAGTGTATAGATATTGTGACGTCACATAATCTTCCTGAAGAAAACATATACAAGATACCAAATCTGCGATATGAAACAGATAAGTGACTGACGAAAGTGACCAACAAACGGACGTCAAACGGCAAGTGAACAAACGAACGTGGGACAGTGACAGACCTGGGATACGAACCCGATGGTTGACAAATATTACTATCAGAATGAGAATCGATTTCAATTTGGTATCGTTTCGCAATTCCGTCAAAAGGCGATCAATACGCAAAAAAGGGGATAAGAATCGATATTTTCTGACTTTTGCTTCAATTCTGAATTTATGATATAAATGCTCAAAATATATTTATTGTTGTTTTTTTCTCAAGTCGATTATATAATGTCAGAATGCTGCATCTTAAAAAAGCAATGGGAGGGGAAGAAATCAGTTACGAATGGAACGCAGATCTGTTCTTCCCACAGTGTCAGCTTGGACTATTATGAGAAGCGATGCAGCATATGCCATTGTTCATTCAACTTATTTTCTTAGTGTTGATTGAAAGCAACGTATACTTCAGTCTGTTTCCAGATATCGGTGTATACCATTAGGGCTGGGTCATAGACAATTGTCTAAATTTCTTCTTGCGAACAGGATGACCGTAGATGGCTGTACATAAAAACTTGCTGTATGACTATGGCTGGACTTCAAGTACATTTTTGAATTCTTTCAAAGTCACTAAAATAATTACCGGTAACGACCCGACCGGACCGGTCGGAGTTTTTTAAACTAGATAATATGCTGTTATTGTGTATTTATTTGTATTTTGTAATATTTGAACCTACTGACAGTTGACGGTAAAATAGTATTTCTAGAAAATGGGAAAAAGACGTCAGTTGAATTGTACCCTGAATCTTCCAAAGGTTGTTTCGTTTAAGAAAAAAAAATGCTCGACAAAATTCTGTGATCTATCCTGTGTAAGTGTTTATCCTGGTTACCAGTTAAAGCTGTGGGACCAATTTGTGGGAAGTACCAGTAAAGAGGTTATTTTAAGCCACTTTCACTTTCCAATTTGTCATTTTAAATGTGTTAAAAAAAATGGTACCATCTTATTAAAATTCCCTGTCAATAATTTTAAAAAAAAATTCAATCTGGTTATCTAATTACACACTACGGCATGCAGCTTCATTCTTTCAATACCTGTACGACTATGAAAGAAACAAAAAATGTAAAGCAAAAGTATTTTTCCCCACAATTTTGTGTCTTTGTTTCAATAGAGGTTGTTTTTCTTGTTTTTAAAACATAGGTAGCACTGTAGTTTGCGATCACATTAACTTCTCTCATCCAAATGCAGATAATGTAAATTTAGAACATCTAAATCTCTGTATGGTTTGGTAGAGACTATTGTTTATTTTTAAGTGGTTATGATAATTCGGCGTTAAGTCTGTAATATAGTAATTAACAATAATGTAAATACAGAGGTGGCGTTTTAAGTGAGATCACAAATTGCTGATGTTATATGACGTTTGGGTGCAAGATAGATATACACTAGTGACCAGACTGTGTTTGAAGTATTCTGGTATTGGGGAAGTGGCAATGTTAATTGTGATTAATATGATTGTATTATAATATGGGTCTTTTCTTCTTCTTTTTCTTTGTAATTCTGATATCGGCGAATTAGAATGAATAAGACTACGTCATAGTTCCAATCTTAGGGCAAGTTCGTAATTGTCTTCTGTTTTCTTTTAAAATTCCTAGTAGATCGAAAGGTCCATTTGTTTAACCTAAAACAAAACAATGGATTTTGTTGTGTTTTTATTTGAAGAGCAAATTTCGTAGTCTTTGTTTCCAGTTGTTTATCCCTACACCAATTAAAAGTAGACTTGTGCACCTGAGCAGTTTGTTTCCAGCTTCTTTATTATTTTTTTTAACTCGTTAAGATATCAATTTCAGGGGTTTCTCAATTTACGTGTTTTACTTTTTATACCTTTGTAAAAAAAAATGGATTAATATAATTATGTAATATTTACTCTTCTGTAATTCAGTTATTCGTTATTGTTGTCATTTTGGGTTTTTATTTTAAATCTGGTCCCTAAAATACTACTGTAAGATATGAACTGCATTTCTTTTTTAATTTACCCAGTATCTTTCGCGTTGAATATGTTTGATTCGGTGTTGATTTATTATTTTGGTATTAATCTGGTCCAGACTTGACATAATGCGTGACGTCTGACACTTGAGGGTAGTCTATAAACAAAGTAAAGGATCTCTCACAACAGGTCCCGACACCAGGCTTTTCGTTTAATTATTTCAGCCGTAAGATCATTTGTAGATTTACGTAATAATGCGTTTAACTGAAGTGTTTTTATAGAAAGGTGATTAAAAAAAATACTTCGGAGATTGCAATATTCTGACAATGTAGATAAGTGGTGGGCTGAATTCAGTTTATCAACTTGGTATTGAGTGATTTTTCGTGTACAAAATATTGAAAGTACTTCATTAAGAAAATGTAGCATGCGTGGCGGATGGCGTATGTGCATTGGGATAATCTTTGTGAATTGTATATATGTCTAATGGTACAGTCAACTTGAAAACGTAAATGTTTAAGTCATATTGATTAATTCTGTATAATCATTGTCGACATTTTCATTTTGAAAAGGGATCAACTAAACGTCAACAGATTCCTCCATTTCTTCACGGGGGTGTGAAGACACCCCCCTTTTTCTGACTCGCCACTGCTTTTGTCCGATTCCATTGTTAAAGAGACTCTAGAATAGGAATAATGATTAGTGACTCACGGCTTGTTTAGCCTTGGTGGATTTAGATTCGTTCATTGTGGTGCTAAAACATTGTGAATACTGCTTGTGTTTTTTCTTCGGTTTTGACCAACGCAGTGTTAAAAGCAAACCGATCTATGGCGAGGTTGACGTGTCCAAAGTGGCTCCAGTTGGTTTGAACTGGTTTGAACCGCCTTTAGCCAGACACGGCCGGATACGGCCCCCTTTTTGTAACTGGACGTACTAGACCTAAGTGTACAAATACAAAAACCTACCGTTGTGTATAGTTTGCTATAATAGACAAAAAAACGTGTGTAGATTGAACAAGTCCGACTGACACTGTACATAGTATAATACCTTTATCATATTATTCAAGCTAGCTTCGCTTTAATAGTCGCTATCCTGGTGACGTTATTGTTAAAGCGAGGTATTAACATGTCGGTTTTTTTGTAAGAAAACAAAAAAAAGAAAAAAAGCAGAATGTAGTTTGGATCGTTTACACTTCCGGGTCATGTAAACTGTGTAGAAAACTTTTAAAGAATTTCATTGATCTTTACATACTCTAGAAGTAATTGGTTTGAAGTATGTAGATTAGGATGAGGACTTTCAAACACAAATATTCACCTGTTAAAATGAACAAAGGTAGCATTGCGATTCAAGAGTTAGTTAGGTCATGGAGAACATGTTGAGAATAATCATACGCGAGTATACTTCATTAGGTATTGTGGAGTGAAAACCAGATTTTCAAAGAAAAGTTGAACCTTTGTTAACCCACTCTTTTTATGAGTCCCTAAAACTTAACTGTGTTTGTAAACATCAAACACCTGACCACTTTCTCACGTTGAGAGTCTGAATGACTGCTCTAGTCATTTGTGTACTGGGCTGCAATGAATTAATTCTTGGTAGTGGAGTTGGTGTAGTGGTTTTCCCCTACCTTCCACCTCGGATGACCCAAATCTGTTCCTTCATGAGACAGTTTCTTCATCTGTGTTTGTCCAGTTCCCTACTTAAACTGCGTGCTTGGGTTTTACCCTGACCATGTTCTATGGCGATTCTCCTCCGCTGCGTATGTTTAAACTGAAATTTCATATCTCAGTATACATCTATATACTTTATGTGATTGATTGAATGCTCGCGCTGCAGAATAAAGTATGAATGGAACCTATGGTTTTTCTTCTTTAAAAGGGCAGTATTATGAATGTTAGGTGTGTATTTCATATAATTTTCTGAATGACCTAAAATGCTTGGGATGATTTTAAAACTGTCTTATAACTAATTAGATAATTACTAATGTGTATTCATAAAATCATGTGTTATGTTGGTAATAAATACAACGGTCCAGGTAAAGTCGGAAAACAAGTCAGTGGTAACGCGTCGTTACTTTTTATTTCGTCTGTCACAAGAAGCCCCCCCCCCCCGGCCACTTCCTCCTTTTTCGGTTTTTTTCCTCCGTTTCCCATTGTATCACCTTCGTGTAGCTAAAATCACAAGACGAGGTTGACAAAAATATTAGACAAGATCATCTGCGGATCGTACGTGTCGCCATTTTTTCGCGGTCGTTCCCTATATGTTTTGTGTTCTGAAAAAAGGCAGAATTTCTGCATTTTTAAACGACCACCCAATTGACCCATGGATGACCTTTGACCTCCAATTTCGGAAGAGTTGTGATGAACCCCCACCCAGCATTACTCCATCCAAGTTACATTAAAAACCATTAAGACTAAGAAACATTTGAAGCATATTTGAACAATGACCTCTAATGACCCCTTCATGACCATTGGCCTCAGTAATTCGATGAAGAATTGTGTTTTTCCACCCAAGGGTTACCGCATCTAAGTGTAATCCAAATCCATAGCAGCATATGTCAAGAGATATGCAATACAGTTGAGGAGAGAACCGTTCGCTGACAGTTTGTATCACTTGACCACAACATCCAATTATCATACAATATCAAAATGGTCTATAAACGCAAGTTTCGTTATGGGCCAAAGTCCGCCATCTTTGTTCTCGACGTTCTTCATCTACTCCTCAATAAGTGGTGAGTGAGAAGCTTGTTCGCAAACACCGTTCGCGTTTTGGTTCCCATCATTCGGAACCCTGTTTCTCGTGTTCATTCAACACGAGAACGGGGTTTAGAATACGCCCCTTTTTTACATTAGTCACTAGTCAAATCCATTAGTGGTCAAATCTAGTAATTAGTCTGCCCCTCGACCAACGCTTAAGCATCGTTGGTATGCAATTATGTAATACCTTTGGTCTCCCCGCTTGCCACCCCCGCGTGCGGGAGATCCGAATTCAGTTGCGTCCAGGCTCCGTGACCGACTCACTTCGTCCTCATTCCTTTTCTGTAGCCAACTGCATGTATTTGTAAGTAGTTTCACTTTGATTTTTCATTCTGAATATTTAATTCACCTCAAGCATTTATCTTTAGTTAGTAGTGTTTGGCTTGAATCAGGGATAATTTAGTTTACGCCGAAATACTGAACATTCCTTAGAGCCACCGCCCTTATTCTATAGGCTTTCACCCCAGTACATGTAAAATAGAAAGTATCGATTCTTATTTGGGTACTACAGTTATAGTACTATTATTATATAGGGTTATTTTATATCGCCGACCTATGTATCATTGTTTTATCTGTGTTAATTTAAAAACTTTACCCAAATCAAACAGCGCCCTCCTATTGTGTCTGCCAGTCGAAAAGGCTAAAGCCCAAGTCACACATTCACGGTTTGGAGCTACGGATCTCCGCGGTTTAAAATTCGTGATAAACCGTGGGAGTACCGTATTCATCCTTAAGACGTCCGTGGTTATCCGTCATCTCCCTTGGGTATTCGTGGAGGGGCTACGGAAGTTTTAAACTGTTCATAACTTCCGTGGTGAACCGTCATGAAAATTTATCCGTAGTCCAATCGTGGGACATCCGTAGGACAACCGTACTTATTCGTAGTGTTATTCGTGGCTATTCGTGCATATTCTTTGAGATTCGTAGTTCATTCGTGGTAGAAATCTCTACGTGGTAGAAATCTCTACGGATATGCCCGGATGTGCTAGTTCTGCTAAGGTTGTACTACGAATATGCATGTTTCATTCGTAGGAGAACCTTGGTCATCCGTGGCCCAATCGCAGACAACCGTGACGTTAACGTCTTTATTCTATAGTAATACCGTCGATATTCTTCAACAATCCGTCTATATTCTTGACCAACCGTGGTGTATTCGTAAAGAAACCTTAGGACAGTCGTGGCTATCTGTCCTGAAACCATATTGCATTCTTAACAAATTCGATTTCTCTTCACTGATTTCGGTTCATTCATTGATTTCGGTTCATTCATTGATTCTTGGCAAACCGTGGGTATTCGTAGCTCCAACCGTGATGTGTGGCTTGGGCTTATGGTGTGTGTCCTATGTGCTCATAGACTGCACGCTGCGTTACTCGCACGCGTACACACAGTGGCATTTTTTTCTTCTCAGATGTGGTGAAGAATCCTTTAAAAAACCTGCATCCAACCCCCAAATCCGGATCACTTCCAAAATCTAATCGATTTGCACTTGTACCAAGGACCAACCATAAAGATATTTGCAAAGTTAAACCACAACGTTTGAAAGTTGAAGTACGACGTTTGAAAAGTTGAACCACGACGTTTGAAATTGAACCACGATGTTTGTAAACTGAAGTACGACATTTGAAAGTTGAACCGCGACGTTTGAAAAGTTTAAAAACCGTGAGGTTTGCCTGTCCGTTTTAAAACACCATACATGCACATTACAAGCGATGACTCGGTATTTTTTTGACTTCTATTTCACAACACATCGGACGATCAATAAGCAAACACACCACGATTAACGAGGGCAAAGAAATAGTGAGGTACAGTCACGATTGAGAAGTTATGTACATGTAATGAAAAGAATTCGCAAAAAGGTAACTTTATACATGATTGACGTCAGTGTGCGTCACGCTGTTTCATTTTGCAAATGATCACTTGATTTGTTGCCTTGGAGATTATCAAACAAATCTCAACGATGTAAACAATTAAAGGGACAATGCGTCCTAAAACAGCCCAATTGCGCTACAAAACGCGCTTTGAAAGAAACTATGTAAATCGGAAAGAACATGTAAAAGTAAGATTTAAACATCCACAAAACTATCCTTTAAAACCTGGGCGTGTTTGTGTTATTCCTGTATTGTGCGTGCGAGAACGACTTTCGGGGTCCACTTTTGCGACCCCAAAAAGTCGAGCTGTTTGGGTGCTAGTTGTGATTTCATCTGTAAAGCGTTCTCCTTTTGCGGACGTGTAAGAAACAACATTTAGTGCATTTGGTGATTGGTCAACGCTGTTCGCGAGTACGGTGCTGTATAGACACACACAACGTGTATATCGTACATTGACCAAAACGACAGGGAAAACGTATTCGTACTCCGTCGTGTCCGATGTAAACAAATGAGATTTTTTTCGTCTTTTCTCCGTGGACGGTAAGACATTACGTTGGTTTCCTTTGAAGCAGATGTTTGAAATAGGATAAGTAAACGATCCAAAACATGAGATTTTTGGGGATTTCAGGACCTAGTGCCCGGGTTAAAAGGAGATTTATTGTCAGTGGTGCTGCAACAGATACAGTTTCCTGTCCATGTTTTCCGATTCATCCATTATGGTTCGAATGGCTTCTCTCATGAAAGAGTCCAAATCGTTTATTATTTCAATAATGTCTGTTGTTAGGCAATAAGACAGCTACTTTATTGAACTATAAACAGATTGTTATAGTCATGTTTTTTTCTGCATAAATACCAGTCAAATAAACCAATATATCGTAAGGCCTAACGCGTAATTTCTTTTTTCTTTTCTTTTATAGGGGGGGGGTTGAACTACGCCGCTAAATAGCCATAACTTTTCATTCTTTTATTTAGTGAACTAAAATTCGACTGATGATTCAGATCGACGATTTCTAAAAGTTTGAGACCGCCAAATAGAGGCTCAGGTGACTTCCACCTGACCAATCATGTCAGCAAGAAATGCTCCGATTCTAACTAAACTATAATGCTGTATTCAGCCTCAAGAAATCTGAAGACAATTTAATGTTGACCTCGTATTACATACTGATTAAGCGTTCTTAAATGTAAAATTCTACAAGGGTTGTATAAGGCATTGTTATGTATCCTTTTCAAAGGGCTATATCTGTGGCTATTGTTTTACATTAAGCAAATGGATTAGATAATTACTTTATTGTGTTGCATTTCTGTTGCCGTGTCAGGGAAAAAATGTATTACATGTATATTCAACATGGATTATATTCATTTCACTTTACTTATCTTATGCTCTGTGTACTCATGAGCAACATGTGATGAAATCCCAGGCGGAAAGTGCAGTAATTTATTTAAATTAAGCATTTGTTTCTATTGTTTCTATTCAAAACAATAGAAAGTCGAAGACAGATGAGTATTAATGTGAGTGTTACTACATAATACACAAGAAATAAATGTCTACAACTATGAACACATTCAACCACCAAATTAAAAGGCATAGCTGTTAAACTAGTTGAAGAAACGTACAGCATAATGTTTAGCGTTATCGATAATCAGTTCAATCGTTGTGCATTCATCCCATGCACACGGAAGTGTTAAACCCCGATCCCTTGTTTAAAATTAATGATATATCTCTAAATTGAACACACTCAAAACACATTAAGTCAACAAGCGGAATATTCCCATTCGTATACGACAGGCTTTCTTATAATCATTTATGGCACCTTCATCAAACTCTAAGACTTTGACGCAGATAGGCGCTGGCTGTACATGTTCTGGTAGTATGGCATGGAAGCGTCTACAAAAGGAAGGAGATCAGGAGAAAGAGAAGAGCGATCTGGAAGCGGCTTGGGCTTAAGAAAGCAGGTACTGTCCAGAGCGTTCTTGTAGAAACCTACCAACTGGTCCACTTGCACGTACAGACGAGGGATGATCCATTGTTCAATGACCGCATCCCCTGCCTCCCAGTTTAGAATCTTCTCATCAAAGGGCAAGCCGATGTCATTGAAAACTGCTGACAGGATACCTTTAGGATCTTTGAGAAGGTCATCGGCGTCGATGATGATTGCTTCAGGGTCGAGCTCCTTCTTCACGTGCTCAAACAACTCATAGACTTCCTTGTAGCCAAAACCTTTTGGGAAACAGGTCAGGTCATCCAAACGATAGTCATCTGCTAGAGACAGATACGGCACAAATGGCAGGAGCGACCTCTTCCAAGACGGGAAGACTTTAAGAGGATGACGAATGAGGAACAGGTGCCGGAAACCCTTCGGGATGGACTCCAGCCGGTCCATGACAGCATAGGCAAAGTCTTTGGAGAAGATGAACTTCTTCCCAGTAT